CTTGAGGAACATTTTGAATGCAGGACTGTTACTGTAACAGAGTATGCCTACACTCTGGTACTTATACTTTTACTCAAGTACAAGATCTGAGTACCTCTGACTATATAATATAATAATATATAAGATACATGGACTGCATTGACTCTGGTCTTGGCGACCCCTCATGGCGGCAGACAGAATCCCCCCCTCACATGCTGGGGGCCGAGGCTATACTAGGTGCTCCTGCTTATCATGAGCGAAGGACACTGACATGCAGAATATGAAAACTCTGCCTCCTGATTGATGGAATAACATGGAGCTTAAGGGGCCTATTCTGTTTTGTGGGTGTTCCCTCTCATGTAGTTTGTTATAGGTTATTGTGCATGTACATACATACATAGCCTACAAAGGCTACAACCCCTTGTTCCCTCCAAAGGGAGTTTCTCTCCCACAAAAGTATTATCAGCTAAATATAATCAAAGTACCAAAAGTAAAAGCAATCATTGTGCAGGTCCATTTCAGAATAATATATATGATATGTTTTATAATGATTGATTAAAGTGTTCTCAAAGCTGGTAAAGGTGCAGCTAGTTTGAATTACTTTGTATACTGCAGGGTAGCTTGTGGATTTACTCCAGGTGGAACTAAAGTCTGATTTAACACTTGATTTATTTTGAGGAACAGAAAGCTGTAATGCTGAGGAAACTTCCTTTATCATCAACACCATCGGTATGAATCAGGCAGCATGCAATCAATTGCTGATGACACACACACGCGCGCACAGAAAGAGAGATTCAGCCGATGTGGTGGCATCCATCGTCTACACACCATTGTCCAACTATAACATAATAATAAACACATTTATTCTTTAGTAAAAAAACATGACTGATCTTCTCGTGTGTTGGTGTGAGCAGCTTTAAGAAATGTACTTGTGTAATCTTTTTTTTGTTGGAGTGTCGTTTACTTCGAGTTTTATGTGTTAAAATAATAATTGTTCTGAACCAGCCTCCAGCTGACGGCTCCACCTGCCACCTGACACGAAGCCACTGACTGTGGCAGGTGCATTGTTGGTGCATTGGTATTTTGAGGCAGCAGAGAGAACAGACATCTGGTCTAAAGTCATTTCCTGCTATTTAAAGTGTCTAATATGCAGATAGTTAGATCGCCTGCATGTGAAGGTTAACGCACAAGTACTTACATTGAGAATAATTGGGAGATAACACTCTGATACGTTTAATTCATGTAGGCCTAAAATCCACCCCTGAATTAAAGACTAAATATAAGCACCTTGCCCTTTGTGGTTTACTTTTCTGCCAAATTATTTACAGTTCTAATCGGAAGAGTTGAGATGGAAAGGCATAACATACCTTATTTTTAATATAACCTTATATTCATTTGTTATTTATTTACGACCATATATCGTAGCTCCTTTTAGAGTCCAGAGTCAACAGGTCCCTGCTGGCCGGCTGTGTGTTGCTTCCTGTTGCTTCCTGTTGCTGCTCAGTTTCTTGGTGGCTGTGCAGATATGTCATGCTGTGTTTTGCAATAATGTTAAGGGGGTGTTTATGCTTAACCACAAAGGAAGTGAACAGCATTTATATTTGTATCTGTCGCCAGGGCAACTGCCACCACATGAGGGACCCATTCAAGAAGAGCCAATCAGCAGGGGCAATTGGCAGGTTTAATATTTTAAAAACTCAACGTTACAGATGGGTTGAGATGTTTAGGCCTTATTGAGTCTTTAGAAGCCTCCCACTACCTCAGCATTTGGATGGTGGGTATGACTCACGTACCGCTTTAGCAGCTAATACTGTACAGGACCTTTTGTTAACAGGAAATGATTTAAAGCATGTAGTGTTGCATCATCAGCACATTTCAAATAACACATTTCACCAGTAGAAATGAAAACTGCCCTTTTTCCAAATGTACAAAACAGTAACCAGGACTTGTTTTGATAATTTGATCCTAAAATATGTTGTTTCTTATTTTGTTGAGTGATAAAACCATTGAAATGTTCATTGGTAACATAGTCAAATGTGGTATAGTATTAGCAAAAGATGATGAAAGTCAGAATGAGTGATCTCAATAAATCTAAATATCTAAGTTTGATGATGCTAGCTACCATTAGACGCTGTAAGCTACTGGCATACAAGACAGACATTAAAGCACACATTTAAGTGTTTAATTGAGTTAAGGTTAATTTTATTAATAATGACTTGAAATTATCATATGTACGTAAAATGTATTAATTATAGGAAAGTTTTATAGTCTGTGTGTTTTATTCACAAACATGAGATTGGTATCGTCTCGTACCACTCTTTGGAAAGAAGTTAAACGATGCATTTAAGAAACGATGTTGTTAAAATGTTGGAATTATTTATAAAGGATAGCAAAATAAGTTTGTCCAGACTTGAGTAATTCCTCATTTTAAGTTACGTTTTGAATGTTTGGGCAATGCTGTCCAGCAATTCCCCAAACGATCTTTCATTTCATTTTAATATACTGCATATTTCAAACGAGGGTAGGCCTACAGCACTAGGTGTAATAGCTGGCCATAGAGAGAATGTGTTTGTGAGTGGGGGGTTTACCAAGGTTGCCGTGTCTAATGCAGGTCTTGATAGCAGAAAGGAAGTTATCACGTTCTTCTTCCTGTTGGAACAGGAAGCAAGTGTGGCCCATATAATGCAGGTGCAGATACACTGCCAGCACATCTGGAGAGGATACCACCGAAGAAGAATCCTCCTTCACTCCTAAACACACACATGGACACACACACAATTGTTACAGGTGTGAACTTGACTCCCTTCATTCTTTAGTAAGCACTTTATTAATTCGACCAAGCTTCCTCTAAGTTGACGACAGTGTGGTATCAGTAGCTAGCTACACTTCACGTTACCTCCTTAGAATGAATTATCTGCGATACAAAACTCAATTGACAGTGGCTTTGGCAGGAACATAGATAAAGGTTTCCTCTGAAACGGTATAGCTGTCTTAACGCTAGGTAAAGCAGTGAAAATATTCAAAAAATAGTGCACACTTTCTTTACCCGACAGTAGCCTATGTGTTTGAGCTTGCTTATGTTACCTTACCTACATTTCTGGCAAAATGAATGGTGGAACTAGCTATTGTTAAATACTGAGGTGTAGTATTATAAAGAAATAAGGTATTATTGCCATTGAGTATTCCAGCGCAGGTTCGCTCTTGGTGAGCTTTGGACTCCTCCTCTTTTGTGAACACACTGCCCCCTGCTGGATGGAGGACCAACTTCGCTGCACATCCACGACTGAAGGTCTAAAGGTGGGAACACAGACAACACGTCCAGCACAGGGACACATCCAAGTCAATTTGATGTATATGTCATATTTAATTTGTTAAAATGATTGCATGTGTTACCTCTGTGTTTTCATGTATTTCCACTTTGTATTCTCGTCTCAGTACGATGAATCTCTCTTTGCATTTCTTCCCCTGCTCATACCAGCAAGAGAGCTTCACACTCCCTTGGTATAGCACTTCCTCTGGAGCATATTGAGGCTACACACACACACACACACACACACACACACACACACACACACACACACACACACACACACACACACACACACACACACACACACACACACACACACACACACACACACACACACACACACAGAGAGAGATACACAAACTTTCATGTTTGAATAAAGTGCACAGATTTTAGTTTGAAGGAATGAGGAATGATTGACATGTGCAGCTCCTACCCCATGTGCGAGCAGTAGGCTCCTCCCCTCTTTCTTAGGCTCCACCTCCTGGTGCAAATGTACGGTGTAGGCTGCAGAATACTGCTGTCGGTAAAACACACTAAAGCTCTGGAACGTACTGTCCACAAGCCCTGGAAACACACAGATTTATTTTAAATGCTTTCTGCCATCTCAAAAATGAATAATAAGCCTGTTAATGTGCTGGAAAGATTTATTGGTACATACAAACATTTGGTGATAGATTTAGCTTCAATGGGAAAAAAAAGAATATTAAAGATCCTCAATGCTTTAAATGAATAAGATAACATCTTTCTGCCTTTGTTTTTTCATAGCCGGTCGTCTGTACGTATTTGAGTCCTTGTTTGTGTGTCTACTGGCTAGCTAATGGCTGCCACTCTGCACTGCTCTCAATTGGCTGTTAACACTGATAAACCCGTGTGGACTGGAGGCATTAATGCAAAAATGTAGTAGTCACCATCTGATTTGCCCTCAGGTTTTCACTCTGTCAGCTCTTTTTATGTTGTTTGCACTGTTTTTGCTCTTAGCTGCTAGCTGCCACCTCAGGTGTGAGCACGCATAGAGCCATGTGGAGTCAATCCCACTGCTCTGAATTAAGTATTTTAAGTTACAAAAGTAAATATTATTACAATGGATTCAATATTTGTCTACAATGTGAAACTAGACATTCTTGAACCCAGATGTATGCAGTTATTTTGCTACACAGCATCAAAATCTCTCTTAGCTCGTCTTGAGTTTTTACAATCCTCAACTTTACTATTTTGGTTGAAGTGAGCGACTAGCTGGTGAACATAGTGGAGTATTTAGCTGAAGTGCCATATTTCTTTTTCAGGAGTTGGTTCAGAGCAAAGCAGAGCTGTTGACATGGGATTGTATATTGGACTTACATTTAATTGGTTCACAAATGACCATTCATGGAATGCTAATGTCTTTCCATGACAACTGGATGTGTAAATTCTAGCAATAAAACGTCATATGATGATAATTTGTTAATGGTTTTTTTGTTGTGTGTTTCACTTCCCCCAAGTGAGCGAATGCAGCTTTAAAGTGCACCTGCTCAGGTTGCCGTATAGTTGAGGAGGTTATTATTAAACCATGGCCCAACCCTTGGTCTGGAAGAACAAACATGGGAACCAACAGACTCTAGGAATATTTCTTTGTGCCACTAGGAACCTATTCACTGGTTTGCATGGGGTTTTTCAGATATAAAATATCTGTTGACCTATAGAGTGGCGAAGTCCCTCCCCTTCCGGGGGACCTCCATGGGACCTTATTTCGGAAAAAGTATGTATTAAAGTCAATGGAGAGAGAAAGA